GATGGACAGTATTAACTGTCAGCTTGATAGAATTGGGAATTACCAAGGAAGAGTCTCTAGACAGTGTGAGGGATTATTTAGCCTCTAGGCATTCCTTGGAGAATTTTGTTGACCAGGTTATTGAGATGGAAAGACCGTACTACAAGTGGGCAACTCATTTGCTGGGCTTGGGTCATGAACTGCAAATGGTGATGGGCACTGGGGAGATAGGAAAGGGTGAGCATTTGCTGTGAAAGCAAAAAGGACCTCATTTCAAATCCCCTTCAGTACTCATATAAAAAGCCAGGCATCAGCACATGTGCCTGTAGACCTAGTATTTTGGGGGACAGAGACAGATCCTAGAGCTTTCTGGCCACCAGCCTAGACAAAACAGGAAAGTTAAATTTTAGTGAAAAGACCTTGGTCTCACAAAATAATGGTAGGGGAAATATATGAGTTCATCCATTGTACTCCTCTGGCCTTTATATAGGAGTACATGGCCAAATACAGAGTGAGAGGAGCGGGAAGGGGTCAGCTAATGGAGCTGTTCATTATCACTTTCTGCTTCCTGTTTGTGGATGCTATGGCCTGCTGTCTCCTTTCCTCTTCCTTGAATTCCCTGTTGTGATGGGCTACACCCCTGAACTGGGAACCATTACAAACACTTTCTCCATTAGAACGTTATTCAAGGTATTGAGAGAGAGAGAGAAAGAGAGAGAGAACCAGCCAAAACAAGTAAGGTGATGGATGTTAAATAACAGGCTTGGCTCAGGTACACAAAGATATAGTGGTATATAATAAAATAAAATAATAATAATAATAATAATAATAATGGGAAAGAAGGTATAGAAAAAAAATGGGCATGTCCTACAACTTGGCACAAAACTATGTACCACCATTTCTGCCTGCAATTATTCCTTTCTCTGAGGAGCCGAGGGGAGAATGCTCAAGCATTGCGTTTCTAAGCATTTGGCAAGGTCACATTTTCCCCTACTGTTGGTTCAGTAGCTACTTCAGAAATTAACGTAGCTACAGGATGTATTTTGAAATTCTTCCTCACAGTTTGCATTGGCATCATGTGCCCTGTGTTCATAATTTGTTGCAGTGTTATTTAGCAATGCTAGTGCTGAGAACTATTCTCCTTTATCCTCTTGGCATTTGGCAGAGACATACTCCTACGGGTGTCAGTGAGGTGTGGGCAGAAGTGTCTAAGATTTGCCATTTAATTTCTTGTGTAAGATGGTAGAGACTCCTTTCCCCTGTTTGAGTAACCAAAGTCAATTGTGAAACAAAGACTCGGATGGTCTGAAGTTGCAGTATAATGAGAACAAGAAATACATTCTTATTCATCTATGGAGGCATAGGGTGGTGACTTGGTTGACTTTTCTTTACCACAGCACTGCTTATCTTGACGGATAAATGCACACACATTTGCTTAAGATGTACCATCAGATTCCCGATGTAAATTATTTAGGATGGAACATGCTGAGAGCCAAACAAATGAAGCAAACTTGGCTCCAGAATAAAAAAAAAAGTAGCCCAATGCAACCAAATTATAATCCCCAAGCAGAAATCAGAGAAGACCTCAAATAGGCCTCTCTTCAATGAGCCAGATTCACTCACTCAAAAAAAGGCTTTACTGAAAAGCTGAATGTTTTATTAATAAAATCTGCACTTAAAAATAGAAAACACTATTCTGTTTGATCACTAGCTGTATTGTGGTAGTTTTATCCAATCCTCATAGACCAATAAAGATATATCATGGAAACCGGGCAAAAGGATAGAGGAGGCAGATGTTTAATTGTAATAATTGAACGAGCAGTTACATGGCAGCTCTTTGGCAGATGATCTGCAGTGAAATACACTTCTTCACTAATTATTTTCAGTAGCTAACTCTGAGTATAAAAATGTGCTCAGTGCTGAGGATCCAAATGTAAGTAATAGGAGCTTGCTGCCATTGTGATGGAAACTGACAGTTGAATGGTAGGAATAAGAAATGGGCACAAAGCAAAATACATGAGCACTAAGCAGAGCACAGCCAATGCCATGGCAGGCAGAGGTAGAGGGCAAGTGAAGAGTCATAAATACTCTGTTGGCTGTGGCCTGCTGAGGCACTCTTGGTTCCACACACAACAGACAGCCAGCTTTATTAGGAAACTATCAGAGTTCTCTGGAAATTAATAATAAGCAGTTACAAAGACTAAGCATCAGTTGGTTAGTTGTGGTGTGTGCATGGGGAGGGGGCAGTCAACATTATGCTGAGGAAGCTAGCATTCCTGCTATCCAATCTAAAATCTAGCAGCTGTTTGAACTGAACTACTTCATTACTGCCACACTTTGGTGCATCAATTTGTGGTTTGGATCTGGCAAGGATTTGTATAGGAGAAGCAAACCAACAAATAGTCCAAACAAAAGCAAACACACAGTCTATGTGGGAAAGTGTATACAAGCCTAGATTTAAATCACAGCGTAAAAATAATCACATGGAAACAATGGTGAGTATGTAATCAAAAACATGTTGGGAACAGAAAAAAAGTAACAAAAGAACTTAAAAAAAAAGTAGGGGAAATAGCTAAAGACACATCACTGCAGCAGGCTTGTTGCTGTGGCCAGGAAAACCTCTTCACCCCAGGCAATCCATTTTCTGTACATACAACAAAATCCAGTCCCCCCTCCCCCTTTTGACTCAAGTAAACATAAAGCTAAAGCTCCGTGGTAGAATTATAGGATGGTTGGGACAACTGGAAGAGATATCTACTTGTAAATCTAATAATTGATTTCAATACATTCAAATCTTTTTTTTCTTCAAGAAAGTGCTTCAGGAGGGAAGGAGTCAGCATTTCTACTCTTGTTTACCCACATCAAAAAACAAAAACCAAAACCACCAATCCATCCATATCTATTGAATAGAAGGGAGATGTGCTTTTCTCAGACATTACACCAGGAAAAAGAAGTTTTATTTTAAACAGATGTGAGAAAATTAAGCCCAATATTTTAAAGTATTTTTAGTGGGATATGATGTCATCTGATTTCATATTTTCTACCCGGGGAAAACATGTATTTTTTTAAATGGGAAGCCATTTTCCATGCATGTACTTATATGTGATAATCTACATGTAAACAATGGCAATGGCAGAACTTTATGATATGTGCTGGTTTAGTCAAAACCTGGAGAAGAAATTTAGTCTTTGTGTAGGAAATGTTATTAAAGAGCAGGGGCTGTCTTCTGCTACCATTCAAGGCTGTCTTTTCTCCGGGAGACCTTCATTTACCGTAGGATTTCCTGGTAGGATTCCAGATGGGTGTAGGACAAGAATTGCTCTGGTTATCCTTACTCCTAAAAGTCACCTCATGGATCCCATGGGAATGGCTTACAGCAATCTAATTACTCAGGGCAATCTAGATTTTAGACAACGAGGCCCTCCCTTCTTACTGGCAGTGTTATTTTCAGTGATAGTCTGGCACATACTGGGTTGTCAGCACCCAGGTAGAGCTAGGTTTCCCTGGGTCTCAGAACCACTCCCCTCCTTTAGTACTGGCTGACTGATGGCGGATAAGATGACCCTAAATTGACCAGAACTGACATCACTTGTGCAATCCTCAGGACAAACTGAGGAGCTTATATCCTGGAACAAGAGTGTAGTCACTGGCTTTGCTCAGTCTCCAAATCTTGTCCCTCGCCTGGAACAGAGATCTGTCCAAAACCATTCAAAGGTTTCCAAGGAGCCACAGAAAGCCAATGTTGTTATCACCGCTTCCAGTCTCCACGGATTTTGTTTCGGAAATTGGAAAGGGGCAGGCACCCACCGCTGCCAGCACCACCGATGCCCCATCCAGCAGCGACCTTTCTGCCCCCACCATAAAGGATGTTAGGAGTAAAGTTACTATAATCACAGGGCCCTGGGTACATTAAAACACTGCTGAATTAACCAACTGTCATTTCAGACCAAAATCTCTAGCACCGCCCCCTTAGGAGCACAGAACATTCTGGGTTAAACGCCCCCAGTCCTGCCCCTTTATTCCTTGGCGAAGTCCTCCAGGGTGGGCGAGACTTGGAGAGGGGAAGGTTGGGGCTTGAAGACGCGTGCCAAGGCACCAACACTCTGCCAAAACGCTTCTCAGACACAACAGTTTCCCAGGACAGTGTCCACCTTCCTTTTCTCGGTTTTATGCTGGAACCTTGGAATGGTTTGGGGACCAATGAGGTGGCAGCGGTTGATTCATGGATCGCGGTGAGGGGAGATTTCATTTCCAAGGAAGAAAGAGGGGGGAAGAGAGGGGGGAGGGAAGGGGGACAGCGAAGCCAGAGGGGAGGGGAGGCGGGGGAGAAAGTGGAAAGAGGGGGCCAAAAGTAGGAGGAGAGGAGAGGAGAGGAGAGAGCCTGGGGGAAGAACCAAGGCAGCAGAGGTGAAGCGCGAGGTAAGCGGAGGCAGCAGGTTCGCCGGCCGGGTACACCCGGGAAGAAGGCTGCAGGCGAGGGGCGTGGGCCGGGCCGGGACACAGGGGACGGTCACTGTCGGTCGGGCGGCTCGGCGTGGTGGTCGGGTCCCTGGGCTCGGCGCCCCGCCGCCCCTGGTGTCCCCCACCCGCGCGCGCCCGTTGGGGGGCCCGGGGAGCGGCGCCGGCTGCCCGGCCGCATTGTGACGTAGCGGGGCCGCGGCAGCGCCTCCGCCGCCCACCGGGTCTCCTGCTCCCGCCACTCCCGCCGTCTGTCCGTCCATCCCTCCCGCCGCCCTTTCGTGCTCCGGTGAGTCCAGGTCCCCTGCGGGCGGACGCGGATGAGCCCGTGCAACTTCGCACCCGGGCGACACCCTGAGGATTCCCCGGTCCCGGGGCCCCCTTTGTGCCTCCGGTCCCTTCTGCCCCGGGCCGCACGGTGCCGCTGCCGAGATCCGCTAGGGTAGATCTGCTGTAGTAAACCAGGCGGCTTCACCCCGGGGGACCCAAGTCGCTCCCTCCTGTCTGTCCTCGGCTCCGGTGCAGGGGATTGTCCTTTTCATTGGCCCTTGCACCGGCGTTACGCTTGCAGCTACCTCCGATGGTCCCGGAGGCGGGGATGGGCTGCGCCAAGGCTCCTAGGAGCTCTCAAGGAGGAGCGAAGGCATAGTGATAGCCACACTAGTAACTAGAACAATAACAAACGTGAAGGGGATTCCGGGTGGTGTCGCTGCCTGAGGGGAGACCCTGGCCCATCAGCCCCGCGGCACCCAGGCTGCCCCGTCCAGCCTGGGCTCCTCCTCCAGGCGCTGTCCGGCGTCCCGGGGCTTGTCCATGTCATAGGGAAGGTTTCTTTCCCGACCCTCTCCGTGGCCTGACTTTCGTCTGCAGGTGGTAAGTGGGGATGAAGCCAGTGTTGGCTATTGTCAAATGCCACGTTTTGTTTATTTCATTTTTTACGAAAAGAAAAGGGGGAATATTCCGAGCCAGTTCTGGCAGCCATACAGTTTCCACAGGAAATACTAGCATTCTTTGAGGAACAAGCTACTGCTTGCAGCAAAGAAAGTCTTCAGGAGACAAAAAGGCAACTGCATTGTTACTCATTTCCAACGGGCCGCTAGGAGGGTGGAAACGTGTTGTTTTTTCCTGTGGGAACATTGCTTTCCTTGGGAAAGTTAATTAAGGAAGCGTAGCTCTCCGTGCCTCCCCCCCCCCGTTTTTTTTTTTTTTTTTTCCCACTAGCTGGAGGTGGGGCTCCACACTCCTCTTGTTTGTTACTGACAAGTGTCTATCAAAGAGCGCCCAAGAAGAAAGAACCACGGCAGGACAGTTTCACCACACACCACGTGCTGTGGAGCCCTGCCAGGGTACAGTTTGCAAAATAAAATAAGGGCTATCTAGGGAGGTTTATGAGGATTACATTTGTGCAGATGTCAGTTTTCCAAGGTGTCAACTCTAAACATATTATGGCCAGGCATCATTTCGGTTCTGAATCTGCAAGCAGGCCTATTTCTCATTATGAAGCAGACATCTCAGTTGGGAATAGGTTCAAATCTGTATTTCATTTGTACATACTGAAAATTTTAAAAGTCAAGAGAGCAAGATGTGGGAGGCAGTATGCTAATGTGTACACACCTGGGAGGCCAGGTCTATTGGCTGATTCTGATGTGCCTTGATATTAAATTACTTTCTGCATAGCAAAGTGCAGGGAGACACCTGTAAACTGCCCTTTCGACTAATAGAAAAAAAGTATGGCATTTTTGGAAAAGATCATAGAAGTGTCTTTCTAAGGGAGTACTTAGCTGAGGATTGCCCATGATCAAATGCACATCAGAATCAGAAAAGAGATGAAGGTGTCCTCCTAAGGATCGTAGAGCATTACTAATGTCAATAATGCAGTCAGATGGAGGTTTGCAAGTGAGCTTATATCAATTTGAACACAACTGTATTGCCTCTCAGTGTTTCAGGAAGAGAGCCTACAGATTTGAAGTATCTGAGACGATACTGCAGTCGTTAATGTGATATGTTCTGTTTGTCCACGTCTGGAAGGAAGTGACTAAAGGGAGTGGATTTTTGTACGCCATGTCACAGCCTTGCTGAGTCCAGACAGCTGTGCAGTGCAGGTGTACAGTGGAAATAGAGAGTAGATGCCAAAAAAATCTGCGAGCGCTGTTGTTTTGGAAGGACTTGGAGGGACTTGACTGAGGAGGAGGGAAATGCACAAAAAGAATCTAAAACATACAAATGCTCTTTGATATTATCAGTGAAAGCCCGGAGCCATGTTTCTTGCCAGATTTAAGTTGTTTCTTATGAAAAGAAGAAATCTCCCAAGTAGCAGGTGCATCATTAGAAGCAACACAGGGGACATTCTCTTTTAAATGCAAAATCTTAATCGAAGAGCCACAAGAGGATAAGTGACACTCTTGGAGTGAAAAACTAGATTTTGGCAATCTTTCAGGTTACAGATGCAAATCCCATAGGAGAAATATGTGTCTTCAGAGACAAATAATATATGATGAAATCAAATAGTTGCTTCTGTACTACACGAACCTGTATATACTTGTTTACTTTTGCTCTTTGATATGTAAATTCACTTGCAAAGTAAAATTTCTTGAAATGAACACATAATTTGGTTTCTTAGCTATATACTATGCATTATCTTCCAATTAGATAATAGACTTTATATTTTATGCTTGGAAACTTCTTTTGTTAAGCCTTTAAAATTATGATCATAGCTGGATATAGTGATGTATACTTGTAATTCCAACACTTGAGAGGTTAGAGATCAAGGGCCACCTGGGATACATAGTGATTTCCATGCCATGTCAGATAAGGCTTCAAGATCAGAAGTTGTCTCAAAAACAAACAAACTGAATCAAAACTAAAATTAATGACCAAAAGAGTAATTGTTCTTTGATGCCTGGGCCCTGCAAAAGTTTTAAGAGTCTAGTTGACTCTTAGATAGTTACTGTATATTCATTTTGAGTGTATGTAGAATATAAAAGTATACAATGCAGGGGTCAGAGAGATGGCTCCGGGATTAAGATCGTGGAGTACTACTCTCAGCACCCTCGCCAGGTGGCTCTCAATTTAACTCCAGCGCTCAAGGATTCAGTGCCCTCTTCTGCCCTCTGCGAGCATTTGCACACAGATGGCACCCACTCACAGAGATATATACACATAAAGAAAACAAAATAAATCACACACACACACACACACACACACACACACACACACACACACACGTATTGTCCTCATAAGGAAATTAAAAGCAGAAAATAAGATATCTAAAAATTTAAATCATGATGCAGATTAAGCAAGACATGTTTAGAATTGAGTGCCCACAAACTAAATAATAACTGTGAATATGAGGAAAGTGAACCTATCTGTTTAGAGATCTTATGAGTTACCCATTGACTAAACCATAGTTTAGTTACTGAAAACAACTACTAAAGCTCAAGGTTATGTTGGCCAGCAGTTTGGTCTGGGTTCTGCCAATCCAGTTTGGGTTCCTGTAGATGATGTCGTCAGTCAGCTGGGAGGATGATCTTGGATCTTGGATAGCCTTGATTACTTGTCTGCCTGTTGTCAGGCTATTATCAAAGTGCAGGCATGGGTGGACTGGGACAAGATCCTCCCTTTCTTTAACAGTCTGCTCTGGGTCTTTACACAGCATCCAAAGCTTACTCAGAGAGCCGTGAAGGGAGCAGCCACCAGTACAAAAACAGTGTTGAGTACCTGTTCGTGTCATGTTAGCTATTCTCCCACTGGGTTATCAAGTTCAAAGTTCACCCCAGATTTGAAGAGTTTAGAAAGACAACACCTGAGCTGGGAAGGAAGGAACTTCAAAAAGAAACAAAACCAAACAAACAAAACACAGCTTAAAAAAAAAAAAAGAAAGAATCTACGAGCCATTCGAGTAAACTTGATTCTAGAAGGAGCTTTCTGCTGAGAACCAATCAACTCATGAAACAGAGACATAGAGCTTGCTCACCTCTGGTTCACTCAGCATATAAACTGAGACTTGCCCCCTGCGTCATTGTCTCATAAGAACAAAGCAATGGTGATAAAGGATGTACTCCTGTCTTATGGTGGCAGACTTTGGGTGTGCGCTAGTGGCAGGATCAGCAGGACATGGCCGGAAGGAGGGGAAGCGTGTTTATGGAAATTAAGAAGCAAGAAGTATATCCAGGAGACTCCAGATTTAGGATTAGGTGACTGTTAATAGGGCTAGTGAGAGCACAGGGTCAAAGTCACCCTGCGGTTTAAAAAGGCTCAAGTGACTGAAAGAAGGACTGAGCACTTATGAGAGATGGAGAGATTTATAAGTGATTCCTTGGGGGGGAGGGAGAAAAATGCAGTCCCAGAAAGGTGAATTTCCAAAAAGGAGGCAGCGTGAAGGCAAAAGTGCTTTCTGCGCTAGAGTCTGCTATGAATGATAGCTGTTGCTTAGGTTTGTATTTTACTGGACTGCTGTGGATAGACAAGGTCTTTGGGTAAAGCATCAGAAAACCAACATTCCAGGTTGCCTTAAGAGCTTACAAGGAAGTCAGGAGGACCTTGTTCAGGAATGGAGACAGCTATTCTAGGTGTCTGGAGAAAGGAACCAGTCTTTCTGGCCTTGGATATGGCATAGCAGACCCCTTTGGCTCAGCTGGGGTGGCATGCATGTTCCTGAACCAGAAATATTTCTTTTCAGCCTCCCCAAGGTCACATGCAATAGGAAGTTGATAAGTGCATCTCAAGAACATTGCCACAGGCAGTGGGGCTAGTCACGGGTGGCTCAATCAACACATGTCCACTCCAGAACACTTGACCATTGATTTGGGCCTGGCCACCAAGAGGCAGGAAGCAACAAGTGAGGCATATTTACAGTGAGCCTAGGTGCATTAGTGGAAGTTAAACTCACGGAGTAGTCAGGTTCTTCATGAATAGCAAAGAGAGGAAAGTGGACTTGCACAATGCCTCATTTGAATTCCTTCGCAAATGTTAGCCAACATTTTACTAGAAAGGAATGGAATTCTAAACACATTCTGTTTCTCCTAAAGACGCATTCAAACTGTTGCTTCATCCACCTCATTTATAGATAGCCAGGTGGTGTCCTTAGCATCAAATGCAGCTGTTGGGCCAGACAGAACACCTGCCCTCAGAGATTTCATGTAATTAGTCTGAACAGCACATACAGCTGTCCTTTGTGGACTAGCCATGGATGGACCAGCTTAAACCCCAGCACACACTTTTATAGTATTTTCTTGTTTTATTGCCCAAGCCTAAGAACCATGAAGATACTCAATAAATGTTAATTGAATGAGTGAACGTGCCATTATCTGGTGCAGTAACATTTTCTGAAACAGTCTGGTCTGGCTTTTCATTATTCAGGGTAGGATTGGCTATAAAATCCCTAAGTGCCTTTTGTGGACTGAAATGTTTCGAGGCATTCCTGTCACAGTAACATAAGTTTTTTTTCTTCTTTCTAACCCATCACTCATTAAAAAATAACTTTTCCTTTTTTTGAAATAGAAATTGTTAGGGGTCATGGTTTTTTTTTTTTTTTTTTTTCCTTCAAGTTATAGAAACCAGCTGACAGCCTACTCCTATTCAAGTGGGAAGGGACATAGGGAAATGGAGACATTCCAGAGATCTGGGTCTGAGTCCCTGTCTTAAATGGCACTAAGACTGGCTTAAAAAGAAAATACCAGGTCAGGCAGTGGTGGTGCACATCTTTAATCCCAGCACTTGGCAGGCAGAGGCTGGTCGATCTCTGTGAGTTGGAAGCCAGTCTAGTTTACAAAGCAAGTTTCAAGAATAGTTTCAAAGCTCCACAGAGAAACTCTGCCTCAAAAAAACAGAGGCATGGGGGTGGGGGGGGCTGTAGAAGAACACCAAAACTAGAT